AGAAGGCAATTATAATAATTATAATAATAATAATAATGATGATAATACAGTAATAATTATAATTATTCATAGTAAATAAAATTTTTAATAAAAAATACACAAAAATAAAATAAGAATGGTAACAAAACTAATAATAACAATAATACTGTAATAATAAAATAATAATAATAATAAAGAAATACAAGAATGAAAAAAAGATCAAAAGTGAGAAACACGACCTAGACCTATGAATTATTATTATTATTATTATTATTATATTTTAGCCCCAATGTGGGTCAGTGACCTGTGCCCGGGTGGGCTGATCTCTGTAAAAAAAAAAAAAAAACCCTAACCATTCTGAAAACCGAAAAATTCCAAAAACCGAAATGCATCTGGCCCCAAGGATTTCGGATAGGGGATTGTCAACCTGTATAAAAGGTACCATATAATATGCACTCCCCATCTTTAGTGTTGTTGGACTAGTGTAATACTACGGTAACCTTGTTGAAATGCAGTAGTAACATTATAAAAACTACAGATACAAATGCATTGAGTTAAAATTTTTGTTAAGTAAACCATACAAAAAAAATAAGTATACTTTATTTCATTTGAAAAGGGGTAGACATTTTTTTCTTATCTTAACTAAAGGCATCAACGAAACTCAACTCTTTATACATCAGAATAACATAATTACAGTATCCACAAGAAGATAATATCATAAGAATAAGAATAACAAAGCAGTTACTTATTATGATAATTATTCTTATACATAGTCAGTAACCTCTATAAGATATCTGGAAGGTAGGAATTTATCCATCACACAACAGGTATGGGAGGCGGGTGTGGACGGCCTGGTCAGCAGCAGGAGAGTGGATGACCCGGCCAGTAGCAGGAGGGTGGATGACCCGGCCAGCAGCAGGAGGGTGGATGACCCGGCCAGCAGCAGGAGAGTGGATGACCCGGCCAGTAGCAACAGCGTCAATGAGCCCTTCCTCACCCACATCATGGTGTGGATGACCCTTCCTTCAACCACATCATGGTGTGGATGACCTGGCCAGCAGCAGCAGGGTGGATGACTCCTCCTTCACCCACATCATGGTGTGGATGACCCAGGCAGCAGAAGCATGAGGATGGATGATTCCTCCTTTAGCTATGTTATGGTGTGGATGACATGTCCCGCAGCAGAAAGAGGGTGGATGACTCGACTAGCAGCAGGAGGGTGGAGGATCCCTCCTACACCCATATCATGGCATGCATGATCTGGCCAGAAGTCGCAGGAGTGTCGGTGACCCCTCCCTCACCCACATCAAGGCCGACCTCTGTAATGATCAACACAATATTTTACCATAAAATTTTACTTTCTTATTTATTTAACAGAATAAGAATAATCCTGTAAAGATAAATTGTGTACAGGTTTAAGTATAAAGTACAGAGTTAGGTATAAAGTACAAGTTTAGATATAAAGTACAGGTACAGTACACTCGCTACAGAAAGTATCTGCAAGGTTGGGTCCGATGGATGTCAAAACGAACACTATAATTTCTGTTGTCTCAGAAAGGTTGTCAAAATACTCCTCCATCTATTGCCATATTGTCTAGCATGCAAAGTATGTGGACTACCACACCTGGAGTGCACATTAAGCAGTATTTTCACTCAGTACTTAGTACAGTGACCCCTCGGTTAACGAACTCAATCCGTTCCAGAAGGACATTCGTTAACCGAAAAGTTCGTTAACCGAAACCATTGTTTCAATGGGTTTTTGGGTAATTGGTTCCAGCTCACCGAAAATTTCCTAAATTCAACAAAAATGGTAGAAAAGTTCACTTACTTTGAGGTGAGTATGTAGAAGGCTCCTGGATGATGATGATGATGATGATGGGAATTAGAATGGGGGTGGAGGAGAAGGAAGAAGAAAAGGCATTGGGGTGGAAGAGAAGTCACCCCATGGCACCATTTCATCCATAAAATTTTAGTTCTCTTGGTGTATTTCAAGATTATTTTCTTTAAATCAACACTGCACTGCATTATATATTGTCAATATGTAAAATATATTTCAAAATGACCAATAATTTGCTTGGAAACACAGAAAAAATGCGTTTAGTTGAAGAGAGTCTCAAGCAAGATGTTACCTCCACTGAAAACAGAGAGAGACTAACACCTGTCTGGTGTGTTAACAGGCTGGATGGCACGCCAGAAACTAGTTTCTTTACCTTCAATTATGTTCAATAATTGCTAAAATGACTAAAAAAGTTAATAATAAACTTTTAAAATTATTGAATAGTATAAACTTCTTGATATTTACTAAAATAGTAAGGAATTTAAGCCCTAGAACCGATTAATGTATTGGCGGACTGATACTAAAGCTGGTTGCCCGATGAGTGCAAGCGAAAACATGTTGAGCTCGGTTCGTAAGAAATTCGTTAACTGAATTTTTGTTCGTTAACCGAATTGAAGATCCTTATGGAAGGCAGTTCGTAAACCGAAATTTCGTTAACCGAGGCGTCACTGTATTTTCTCTTGGCTTACCACCCTTTATTGTATTTTGTTTTGTCAAATTGCTCATGGCAAAATTTCAAACTTACATACTAAATACACACACATATTAAATGAACCATTTGACAACTTTTTCACTGCAACAAAGTATTGCTGCCAATACAGTACAGTACTGATATCACAGCTAAAATCATTATTTTTTAATCTAAGGAGTTTTATTATGAACATTCTGTCAAGACTTGAGGTTACAATATCAACTTATCTGTATATAAGTGCACACACACACAAAAATAAAATAAAATTATACATTTTACCTGTTACATAAATCTGCAGACATTTATGGATTAATTCTTGAAAGATGAATCACTAAGCAGCACTTGAATGCGAGACTGGAGATTCTGGTGTTGAGGTCCACAAGCTACTAACACTTTAGTGAGACTTGATGCACTACGCTGCTCCTGAGCCACCTTTACAGCCTCCTCTAAGAGACTATCAATGATAAGTGATAATTTTACTCTATGACATAATTCTAATTTCTGCTGCAAAATATAAAGCGAATATAAACATTTTCTCATGAATTCTACTGCCAATTTGGCTGTCAGACTAATGAAAAGTCTGCTTGTTAGATAAAATTTAAATATATAGTGTACATTACTTTACCATAATGCATATTTCATTTCCAATGAAACACGAGTGAAATAGGTGTAATATAGTACATCTTTTAAGAATGAGAAATGATTTTTTTTGTACTCACCCACATTTAATGAGATACGTGATTTTGTTTTCATCTCTGACCTTCATGGCATATTTTTGAGCCTCAATTTTATTTCCATTTTTCAAACAAGCATCAACAAAAGGCTGTAAGAGAAAGTGGATCCACATTAATATTACAAAGATGAGCGTTGCAAGAAAGTTCCATTATTACCAGGTTTAAGGAATAAACGGCGAGAGAGAGAGAGAGAGGATATCTGGATATGAAATGTTAAGGTGGGGATGATAACAAGTAACTGAGCTCTGAGTAAAGGCATCTAGGATAACTTGGGGAGGGATGAAGATTTCAATATTAACAAAAACACCAAGTAAAAGATGAATTGGTGTGAATGATGAATATTACTCTGAAAATACAGCACAGAGCAAAAAATAGAGTACAGAGCAAAATCAGCTTAGGTACAGATGGCAGAAAAGTATTATGACATCATAAGACTGAAATACAGTATAATGAAGTGAAGTATAAAAAAGTATGAGAAATAAAGTATTTGTTATGAATGTTGGTATTCCCTGAGGTGCCCTGATCAAATGTTATAATCATGCCCCTCTGGGAGGTTATATTACAGTTTTCAGATACAGTTAACCCTCACTTTACGCGGTTAATGTAACCCGGAGGGTACTGCGGAAAGTGAGGAACGTGTAAAGTGAATAACATAACATATGGGATTAATTGAAATAGAGTCCAGGCCGACCCCCAAACTCCACTTTTTGACGACACACAACTATGTTGTAGTAAAAATATTATCTTAACTTTATGATGGCATGCACACACAATTAATAATTAAGAGAAATATCAATAATATTAGGTTTTTTAACACTTACATTAGTAGAAAAGATGGCTGGGCACACGGGGATGGGCGGTTGGTTCCGAGGCAGAGGGCAGATTATTGGCCCTCACCTGTATCACTTGTATCAATTGTATCACTATCCACCACAGAGGCTTGCAGGGCCTCTTTGTCAAACCCCCCAAAGTTCATATAAGTCCATATCCTCACTATAATTATCACTATCACTGACTTGGGCCGGCTGTAGTGGGTGGCGGGTGAAGAACTGGTAATGTTTTGATGACTGGGCGACCTTGTGTGCACCATTTTCGCGCCTCTTACACAACATGGCGGATGGCGGGAGGTTTGGATCCAAAAATGGCGCGGCTTGCCAGCCGCTCTCTGCGTAATGGGGTACACGCACCGCGGAATGTGAGCATGTTAGGTTCCGGCAGGGCACCGCGTTAACGGTGAACCGCGGAATGCGCGACCACGTAATGTGAGGGTTGACTGTACTTCAAAACTAAATACAGTACAGTCAACCCTCGCTTTACGCGGTCCCACATTCCGCGTTTACGCGGTACCCTGCCGAAACCGAGATGCTCACATTCCGCGGTGCGTGTACCTCTTTACGAGGAGAGTGTCTGGCTCGACGCTATTTTTACATTCGCCCCTCCCGCCTGCTCCCGCCTCCGCCTGGGCAAGTCGCGCGGTAAGGTTGCGCAGTGCATGTCTCTGTTGCGTTATCAGTGACGTCATATGACGTATCGGACTGTGATTGGCCATGCATCCCTACCTCCCTCCGCTGCTAGCTGTAATTGGTTTAAAGTAATATGACGTGTCCACCCAGGGGAGGGAGGGAGGGAGGAAAGACGACGCTTGATCTAGTTGCGGCAGTTTCATTCCTCCAGGCCACACCGTGTAATCGTGCATCCATTGTTCTGTAAAATGGCTTCCGCCGGACCACCGCCCACAGAGAGAAACCTTTCCTTACCTGGACCCAGCCGCCCTAAGCCAAAGAAGACACGACGTTCCTTAAGCTACGAGGTGAAGTACAAGATCATCCAAGAGTTGGAGAAAGGAACAAGACAGGTTGATTTGGCGCGCCAGCATGGTGTGAAAGAATCTACGATCCGGACGATAAAGAAGGATGCAGCCAAGATAAAGGAGCACATGAACATCACAAAGTCTACAGGTGCTTCTATGATCAAGTATTTCCACAACCAGGTGCTTCTCAAGACGGAAAAATTACTTGTGAGCTACTTGGTGCATCAGGCGTGACGGAACATGGCGGTGGACACGCGCTCTGTTAAGGAGTACGCACGTGAACTGTATGCTGCAGTGTCACGAAAGATGGGAATTACAGAGCCCAAACCCTTTAATGCTTCCTCTGGGTGGTTACAGAGGTTTAAAAAGAGGAACAAGATCACCAATATCAACATTGGTGGTGAAGAAGCTAGCGCTGACCGTGTTGCGGCTAGGGAATTTCCTCCGTTTTTACGTGAGATTATGAAGGAAGGACAGTACACCGACGACCAGGTGTTTAACATGGACGAATCTGGTCTTTTTTGGAAAAAGCTACCTTCCAAGACCTTCGTTGTGAAGAATGCCAGCAAGATTCGGGGCCGGAAGTTGCAGAAGGAGCGCATCACCGTCCTGTTTACCACCAGTGCCTCCGGTACCTGTAAGCTCAAGTTATCGGTGATCCACACAGCACGCAAGCCGCATGCCTACAAGAGCATGGACATGACCAAGCTAAATGTCCACTGGCTGACCGCACGTAAGGCGTGGATGTTCTCTACACTGTCCCTCTCCTGGTTTGATGACTGTTTCGTTCCCGATGTGAAGAAATTCTGTGAGCAACAGAATGTGCCATTCAAGATTTTGTTGCTGCTGGACAACGCACCAGGACACTCGCCCCTACTGTTAGATCGTCACCCCAACGTAAAAGTGGTCTTCCTTCCTCCCAACACTACGTCTATATTACAGCCCATGGACCAAGATTAATCTGTAATGTAAAAGCTGCATACTCTATGAAAAAATTCAAGCTCCTGAACGACTACACCAACACCAGGGAAGAGTTGCATAACCTGAGTGACACCACCACCGATAGCAAGAGCGAAGACGACGAGGATCAACAGTTGGCAGAGCAAAAAATACTTTTAAACAATTCTGGAGAATATTCAACATCAAGAAAGCTGTGGACTTCTTGGTGGAGGCATGGGATCAGCTGTCTGTAGCAACTGTTCGTCACGCATGGAGACATGTGTTGCAAGGCATTCCGGCCGTTAGGCAGAGTCAATCTGTGACTGGTGAGGTTCAGACTGTTGCAGTAGCAGTGGACCTTGCCAGAGAAGCTGCGCAGAGTGTTACAGCTGCAGGCTTCTCCGAGTCCACCAACGACGACATCCTGGAGGTGATAAGGGATCCTGACGTGACTACCGACGAGATGGTAGATGATGACGTCAGTGAAGAGGCAGGTGGTGCGTCATCCCAAGAAGAACACCGCTTATCCCATAGTAATGTTAGGGTGTGCCATCGAGTGTATCGAGAAAGTCAAGCTCCTCCTTTCCGACGACCCTGACGCAAACAGGTATGAAATCTTCACTACCCAGTTGTTGCAGACTATGGAGCCCTACTTCAAGGTTTATCACGACAACATAAACACCAGCCGTCAGCAAAGCATAACAGAGTTCTTCGCCCGCAACCCACCACAGCCAGCCCAAGCCAGTGATAGTGACAGAGGTAGAGACAGTGATGATGACTTTGAGGGATTTGTCAGGGAGGCCCTGACAAGTGTGGATGACAGTGATGGTGACTCACCTGAGGGTCAGTAGCCTGCCCTCTGCCTCGGAACCAGCCTCCATTCCAGGTACGCCGACCCATCTCTTCTACTAACGTAAGTGTTAACCCCAACCTTTATTTTTCCTAACCTAACCTTTATTTTTCCTAACCTAACCTCTTCTATATTAATTGTGTGTACATACCATCATAAAGTTAAGATAAAATGTTTACTACAACATAGTTGTGTGTCGTCAAAAAGTGGAGTTTGGGGGTCGGCCCGGTCTCTATTTCAATTAATCCCATATGTTATGTTGTTCACTTTACGCGTTTCTCACTTTCCGCGGTACCCTGTGGTTTGAATTAACCGCGTAAAGTGAGGGTTGACTGTATAGTCTGGATTTATTCGGATTTCCTTTACGCGTTTGGTCATTTACTCGGCACCTGGCCAGACCGGCAATAATTTGTTACGCGGTACATTCCATCATTTACGTGGGAAACGCCGTGGGCAGGGTGTGCACTAGGTCGCCCAGTCAACAAAACATTACCGAGTTACTCTTCTCCCGCCACCCACCACAGCCAGCCCAAGTCAGTGATAGTGAGGATATGGACTTTGAGGGGTTTGACAAAGAGGCCCTGCAAGCCTCTGTGGTGGATAGTGATACAATTGATACAAGTGATACAGGTGAGGGCCAATAATCTGCCCTCTGCCTCGGAACCAACCCCCCATCCCCGTGTGCCCAGCCATCTCTTCTTCTAACGTAAGTGTTAAAAAACCTAATATTATTGATATTTCTCTTAAATATTAATTGTATGTGCATACCATCATAAAATTAAGATGTTATTTTTACTACAACGTACATATTGTGTCGGAAAAAGGGTAGTCTGGGGTCGGCCCGGTCTCTATTTCAATTAATTCCATATGTTCTGTTATTTCGTTTACGCGTTTCTCGTTTTACGCGGACCTCCATGGGTACAATTGACCGCGTAAATCCAAACTATACTGTATATTATGGAGGCAATAATTCATGCCATTATGTAGTATGGTACTCATTTATGTACTGATATATATAATGCACTTTTTTACCAATTGTATATTCAAATACCTCGCTGAAGTGCCAATGCCTTGAAATCATTTGCATTTTGATAGTCCAGTTATTTAACATTATTTTAGAGAATAACAGGTCTGTTTACTGATTGTGAACATATTTAAGTTTGAATAAATGGACAGCTACACAAACGTTTTCTATGAACCAATCGGCTATTTTTATAGAAGAGGGGCATGGCTTACGGGCCAGATTAGTATGGAAATTGTATAGCGTCAGTTACTACAAAGAAATACTTCGGAATGAAAATAGATACTAAATCAAATCTGATATATAAAAGTTTATCATTCACACATACCTCAAACCCAATTGGATTTTTCTTATTTTTTGAGAAGTTGGCTAACTCTTCCCAGTGATTAGCTTGAGCATGAGCTACAACCCGTAGCCACCAGTACCTTTAAGTAGAAATATGAAGAATAGATAATTAATCACATATGGTAAAAATAAAATTAAACAACAAGGTGTACACAGAGTTACTTAGAAACCTGCTAAATCTGTTAACCTTACCTACCATTTTCCAAACACATCTGCCAGGATTTTCTAGTACAAATTATATTATCCGCACTATACAGTAGGGCATTAATAACTCCCGTGAGGATTATTGAAGTGAAGTAATACCTGTGAGGGGATGCCCCAAACACCTAAAAATGACCACCATCAAGGCAACACTGGGCAAGAATAGTGAAGTGTGTTAATATACATTCAGTATTACAGTACAGTAGTGTGTTATGATTTTAATTTAGAATACAGTAAATTAAAAAAAATACAGTGTGGCTATATTCACTTGACCATGAGATGAATCATGTTATTTCATTATGTAGTACAGTATACATATACATACTGTACTATATTGTACAGTACTAAGATTTTACATTGCATTAATGAGGGCAGCAACTAAATCTCTTCCTACTCTATGGATTGCTGGTTCAATCCATCCTGCTGTGAATGAATGACGAATTATAAAAGTTGAGAAAGTGAAAGTGGTTGAGTGTTGTACCAGACATGCTATCTCTTAATCATATGCCTATAATGAATACAGCAGATACGGGAGTTATTACCAATAAGTAAACACACGGTAACTATTTCATACTAACCTCCTTTCAGGTATCTTGAATTCCACTCTTAATTTTTCTGTTTCCTTAATTTGTCCATCAAGTAAAAGTTGATGTACTGTGTCATGGAGGGACTTTTTTGCATAAGGTTTCTGCTGACTCTCCTCCAATCTCATCTGTGTGGAAGAATTAGAATGAAACCTTTCATCATCATTATCTCGTGTGCCATGTCTCTTTTTCATTGCAGAAATATTTTCATCCCAAATCAAGCAAAGATCAGATCTACCAAATGATCTATTAAAAGTGGAATGAGGAGGATAAGAAAGTACAGATAAAAATTACATACAAATCTATTTCCTTAAAAGAGGTCAGCCTTACCTGCCACTTGTTTAGCTTAATTTGTTCTTCTGTCATCTGACATGCTGATTCACTCTTGGCCTTCCTAAAAAGCTCAGCTGCACCCACGAGTGATGCCTGATGGGAATCTGTCCGCTGAAGCAAAATATGTTTAGGAATGTTAAAACAAAATACAAGTTTATTTCTATTCCACAAAACGATAAACAAAAAAGCTACCTATTACAAACTCTTAAGATTTCAAAAAATGGAGTCCACTACTGTACTAAAATCTGGAAACACTGTAGTTCAGCCCCTCTCTCTTCATTCTACTTGCCTTTTTTTATCCTGTCTTTTATCTCCATATAACCTAATCACTGGGTAATAGGTATTTCTCCTAATTCAGAATGCAAGACAGTGCCACAAGAATTCGCAACACCCCTGGAGTCTTTGAATGTGTACGATAGTCACTCTTGTGATGGGCTGAAGACTGCAGTCAGGAAGAGGGCCATAACTTAGAACATTTACTGTAAAATTAATATCATATTGCATATGATCGTAAATAAATTGTCCAGTACTAGCAACACTGGATATTTAATTTATACTTTGTTGATTTTATTACATTCCAACCCCGACTGATATTTGTTATAACTCCAAATCTATGGGGTATTAATACTATATTCATGAAGTAATTTCATGAAGACATTTATCCTTATGTATGTCTCAGGAATACACTCCCAGAATCATGAAATATATTTCTGAAACAACCTGTGTGTATACAGGGTATACAATATATAAATATTCTGGGAATCATCATTCGATTGATATATTTCACATAGTACAAGTACTATATACAATCTGTTTGCAAATCTATTATTGCAACTAACCCCCTCTCTTGAGAGAATCACTGTATACTCAGGGAAACTAGAAAATAACCCTTAAGCAATTTGGCAACTTACGTATGTATTGTAAGCCTCTTTGATTCTAAGGAGACCCTGCCCATGAAAATCATCCTCTTGAACTAGGATATCTCGCAACTGCTCCATGTCAAGTTCTTGACAGCTGCGGATATGAAGTGACTGCGCTACAGGAAAGTTTCGAATGAGCATCTGAAATGTAAACCAAGTGTAAAGGACTGAATCTTTTCAATCACATTTGTATCACTGTATTAAATTAGCTCCATCCACTAATCTACATTATTTGATTATAAAACCATGGCTGAATTCTCTTGGATCAGTTCTTAAACCCTTTCAAAGTAGTTGGCATTTGTATGAATCAAGAAATTATTCTGTTCAGTGTGGCTTTCCTGATAGGATAAAAAAAAATTAATATACTGCCATGGACAGCTTAAAGTGCCAAATAAGGTTTTGCAATCACGATTATCACCCCACACAGTCTTCCCATTTGGGTTCTTATAATCCTTGTGTATACTGTACCAGGAACTCCCCCGAGGACAATTTCTGCCGTAGATGATGCAAGACTGTGTAGATGAGGTCTGTATCTCCACTCTGTAAAGCTCTTCTAAGTGCCGTCTGATCTTCACCCAGACGCATCAATACTAACACCTGCTCCTTAGCACGGCATTCATACTCAATTAACTGAAAAAAGGGATGAGGAGAAATTTATAACAGTGAAACATAGGCCATTAAACAGGATTGAGCAAACTGAAATGAGAATGGCATGGAGGAGGTGTAAAGTGATCCTGAAAGATTGAAAACCATGTTCTGAGCTAAGAGAGTGGCTGAGTATTGATAATATCTGTATTGGTGAAGTTCTGCATAGAGATAAGCTGCTGAGATGGTCTGTGCATATGGAAAGAATGAAGGAGACCAGTTGGGTCAAGAGATGAGAGCCTAAATGTGGCAGGGAGGAGAGCCAGGGGTAGGACAAGAATGACATGGGGAGACAAAAGAAATGATGTTAGAGTTAAGAACCTGAAGAGAGAGGCCGTCATCAAGGAACCATGACTAACCCACACATGTGTGGAAAATGGAAGTATATATTGCTGATGAAGATGAGAAACTAAAAGTAATTTCGATCAGTTGTATCACTAGGGGAAACCTTCATGTTCAATCAGGGTTCTACTGCATGTGAAGTACTGGAAATACACAAATGTTTCATGAAAAGAGAAGTCATCCTGTTCACAATATAAAGACTTGAATACTTAAAACATAATTTGCTTATACAGTAATTAGGATCATTATACACTACCTACTTTTATAGCTAGTTGCTTTCTCCCAGCCTGATCAGCCCGGTTAGCAATGTCAGTGTAAGATATTCCAGGAGTGTAGCCCAACTTACTGTTGATCTCTTTCGCTATCTGTTCATCACTCTTCTGTGAAGGCTGCAAAACCTGCAGGCACATAAAAAATTATAATGACACAACAAGCAAATTGAGTTACTGTGCTAACTTAAGATTTCATACCAACACAGGTATAATTGTCACTATATGAAGATACCATTTTTACATAATAAGCACCAATACAGTATGTACAGTATTGTATACTGTATACATATATTATTCAAAATTTATTGTGATTGTTTCAGGGGTCATTAATCAATGCTACTTATAAGAATTAAACAATTTTAAACCCAAAACCTTGACCTGTAAGTCGAGGAGTACATTATTATATTTGAATAAAATCTAAATTTTTACACATTTGATGAAACGTGAAATCAGAGAAAAAATTATTTTATGGATAGTAAAAATGAATGTGTTTAAGTGGTAAAGTTAGTCTATATTCTTCATAAATGGATATAAAGGCAATTTAAAAATTATGGGCACAGCATAATTGACATTTTAATATTTGGAGTGTATCTTATTCATTAAAGGCCAATTAATTAACATTTATTACTCGAATGTTAAGACTTTAAACTCACAGCCATAACCAGCATGCAAAGGAGTAACTTTTATGAAATTTTAAGAAAATCTATGTTATGATCTGATACTGTATGGCGAAACATAAGGTATTGGGGCAGGTGTATTTTTGACGCCAAATGAATTTTTTTTTTAAAGTGAAAACTAACATTTCTATATGGTAAAGATAGCCTATATTTAAAAAAAAAGTATAAAAAGGTGATTTAAAATTTATGGGAAAAGTGTAACTTATATACTGTACAGTATACTATAAGTTTTACAAAAATCTTCAGCTTTAGTTTTACATTAGAACAGGACTTTTTTTCCCACCTTATAACAAGCCCAGTGTGCCAATATGCGAGAAGTTCCATCAGATTCAGGCAATTTCAGAAAATCAGCAATTTGTAGTGCCAATGGGAAATAGCGACGATACACCAATCTATCCAGAAGCACTGGGAGAGTGAGGTGCTCTAGTTCATTCCAGGTCAGTGGCAATCCTACCAATGAAAATATTATTATTATTGTTGAAAAAAAAAAGCAACAATAATGAACACTATAAGATATATAAAAAACAGAAAATTGATCTCATGGCAATTGACATACGACCTGTATGGCCTAAGAGTGACTTGAACTAAACAGCTGAGGTTCTAAACAAATCTATAAACAGGTGAAAATATGTACTATATGTAGCTGATATAAAATGCACTATATGAAAGGGATATTTTTTGAAGAAGTGGTGGAGGGGTGCAGGTTGTACTGGAGTAATGCAACTCAAAGTGGCTTGGGTGCATCTTTTGAAATGCATACAATACTGAATTGAACTAAATAAAATACCTTGCACCATTAAAAGTGTTCACTAATCTATAAATTTCATATACTGTACTGAAGAATACATTTACTGTAGTGGAAGTGTGTAAATGAGGAATGTCTGTATGAAGGATTGCTATGAGGCAAGGAAAAGGATGGCTTAACATTCTGAAGGATGGTACCTGCTGTTAGCCATTCACCAAGTTCTTGGGACAGTGACCCAGAGGAAATTTCTAAAATCTTGGCCATAGAAAATATTTTAAATGAGGCAGGACTACCATTTGTTCATCTCAAAATTTGAAACATTTATCTACATACTATTACCAATACTGTATACAGTACAGTACATGAGAACTCGATATTCCTTCACAAAATAACGAGCTGAAGACAAAATGTAGTTTTTATATGGCTACTGCATATTAGTAGGAAGTGGAAATAGTTGGCTTGATTACCTAATTATTGGTACAGTAATTAGATATTAGAAAAATAAGATGCAGTTAAGAAAAAAATATGAAAGAAGACTAAATAAGATTCAAGACAAGGATTGAAACCCATTGAAAAATAAGAGTGTTTTGAGAATAATTTTTTGCACTCACCCATGTCCACTAAGTGTCTCCTAACAGACAAACAGACAAGGGAGACATAAAAATTGTAAAGAACAATGAAATTTGTAACTTAATTTTTGCAAAATTATCTTAAAGCATTTTGCCTAAGAAGTGGTCCAAGCGGTAGAGTACTGTAGTTCTTTACACGAGATGTGTAAGTAGTAGTTCAGAGTGTTAAGCCATTGTTAGAACATATAAAAACCCACCTACTCTATAGTCCCGTACAGCATTAAGAACTCTCAGAGTGAATATGGCCTTCTTGCAGGGTTCTGGGTTCATCTCTGGGATGAAGCTCTTCCCAAAAAGTGCTGCCTGGAGGGAAAGGAGAAAAATAATATGCTACTAACATTGACAAGAATATATGAACTTAAGTTTTGGATTATTATCAGGTCAAAACACCACCAAAAACAAATCTAAATATGTATGTACATGCAATCCAGTGTTACCACTATCACACAACGAGATGTCAACAGATTCCTACTGAAGCACCTCTACAATTATCCAAAGGGCCTACATTACTACATTCTTTTTCTTCTGTAAGAATACCACTTCCTCAAATATACAAGTATACCAGTACTGTACTTATTACTTCATAAATATATTTTTTTACTTTAAAATTGCATTAGAATATACCTCATTTAGGAAAATAGAATTTATTTTAAAAGGAAAACCAGATCAACTGATAATTCTTACCCGAAGCAACATTTTTTGAGCCTGTGGGCGGTACTCATGTTGTGCAGCCTGCAGGCACTGGTTAACGGCTTCTTCCACTGAGTCTTTGATCATACCCAAACAGTCATTGGCTCGAGTGCTTCTCTCCTGGTTTGATAAACACTGATAAACACTTTCCATGTACTATTACAGTATCATCTGATGATTAAGGCAGCATTTCATCTCATTCAGCTGGGACTAGCATAATTTACAGGGGGAAAATAATAATTTCATATTAAATTACTGGACACTTGCATGTGCAGTATGTCATAACACTAATCTGGAGATTTTCAGGCAAATTTACTCACAGAAATGTAATAATGAAGTAAGAATATAGTGATTATTAAATTCAGTTGTTAGGCTGCTCTCTACGAATGCAAGTAACATGTTTGGTTTGTTGAATATGTATAGAAAAACTTTACCATCTGCAGGGGTTACTTTCTTAGAAAACACCACAGAAGGTCAAAGAAAGGGCCTATGGTATAAAGAGGTTCTTGGCTGACAAGATAACCCAATTCATCCTATAACTTCCTCTACACTTAACAAAATCTGGAGGAAAAAAATTTATTACTGTAAACAGTAATGTAAAAAAAATGTTCTTGACCAAGAAGAATAAATACAGTATACTACAGTATACTATACATTCATACCTCTACAGTCTATAACTTTACAGACCAATTACATGATAAATATGAATTATAAATTCTCCCTTCAAGTGGAGAATCAAGCTACCAAAGTTCTTTTGCAGGGAAGAGCGGTAAATTAAAAAAATATATATTCTTTCACACCACCACTTCCTGCCTCATGCAGTCAAGACATTATTCCAGTTAACAGGATAATGCTTAGGTACAGTATTCTTTAAAAAATTAAGTTTCGGTAATGTTTGGTTTGACCTAAGATAAACTGCGGGCAAGCAGGAGGTGCAAGGTTGCCCATCTACCTCAATCCTTTCTATTGCCTAAAACTCCATCCCGTCTCACCAGTCACCACCACACAACTGGTCACTTTTTACTTTGATAACACATTTTCTTTCCTGCTTCATTTTGCTCTCATTGTCATAAGCATAATATGAATACATAGGATGTAAAATATATTAAAAGTAGATCAATTGTTTAAAGCAAAATTGGGGAGGAAGGGATGCATAAGTTTGGTAAAACTAATTACCTAGAAAGAAGTACAGTACTTTTGCATTAAATTTGAACAAAATCTATTTTTTTTAATCAAATATGCACAAAATGCAAGGTAAATAGGTCAGGCATCATTTGGCTGATGAAAAGCCCTTTTTCTGGAAAGTGAAAACTAATGTCTTCATTTGGTAAAGTTAGTCTGTATTTCAGAGAAAATGTATATTAAGGTAATTTAAAACTTGCAGGCAGAACTTAATGGACGTTTTAAATACTGTATTAGAATATTAGGAGTAAGAATTAAGAGGAGTTTAGAAATGGAAAATTCTTGGCTGAAAAGAATTGTCAACAGAGGAAGCACAGACTTGAACACTTAGGACAGTCAGATCTGCACTCCTCTATGAATTTATTTACTTTAGAGTTCAGAAAGAAAGAAAAAAAAAAAGGCAAAGAATGACCCTTTGACTTCCCATATTATACTATCTAAGTACAGTAAAGTTAAAAGAGTAATGGACATTCTCCCTCTGCTGATATTCATTCACTCTTCCTTCTGTAAATGACATGTACTGTTATGGTACTCACCCTCCACAACAAGGCCCTAGATATCCTTTTGATTTATCTTTGTCACTTCACACAACCTAGCATCACCCACCCACAATTACTTAATGCAATGTTCTCCATTCACTCGCTGCTACCTGTAGGACTATCCCCTTCATTCCTAGTGTAACTTTCATCCAATTCATTAACCTCCTTCTTTGTCTTCACTTCTCCCTCTTATAATCATCCTTTGAATTACCCCTGTACAGTATACTGTACACTATTTCTACCAATGTTTCACTTCCAAGTTCATTTGTATTTCCATACCACCTGTGCAGGCAATAAATATATTATTAATAATAACACTAACATTAATAATAACAGTAATAATAATACTTATAACAATAATTATGGTACTACTGCTACAGGTTGACCATCAAAAATCCGGCAACCAATAAACCGGAACCTTCAGTTTTCCGGCATGGATTTCGGAGAGCATTTTCAAATATTTCTTTGTTTATCTAATGAAGATATATGTTTTAGCTCATAAAATTCATACAAATTACCCAGCCAGAATATAATTTACATTGCTGGAATTCTTACAATTTGATGATCATTTTGAATATAAACATCATAGATTTTGCATTAGACATAAAAATTTTAGATATAATGTTTATTCTGAGTAAATATGTTATCTTTTGTGCAAAATATATGACATTTATATTCAAAATATTCCTGGTCTTACAAGGAATCCAGCAATGTCAATTATATTATCCTAACTTTAGTTTGAGGTATTATTTATTACTATACCTTAAAATCTAGTGGTTTTCCTCCCAAAATTTCTCAGAGAGGGAAGAGCCAGCGAGTGTAGTGTGAGAAGAGGGGGAGGGAGTCGAGTCCATTATTTGAATGGACATTAACTTGGCGACTGTATTTCTCTATTTCTCTTAAGTATTAATTGTGTGCATGTACCATCATAAAATTAATATGTTATTTTTACTAGAACATAGGTATTGAGTCGGAAAAAGTGGAGTTTGGGGGTCGGGCCAGTCTCTATTGGAATTAATCCCATATGTTCTGTTGTTCACTTTACGGGTTTTCACTTTCCATGGTACCCTGTGGGGACAATTGACCGCGTACGTAATCGGGGTACTACTGTATACAGCATATATAATAAAATTTCATTTGCTTTTCATTTAGTGTTTAATTTTCTTTGTTTAAAGGACTGTACAGGTAGTCATTTTCTGTTAAACTTATACAGCAAATATAGCCATCAGTTTTCCGGCATTTTCGAAAATCCGGCACTCCTCAGGTCCCGAGGTTGCCGGATTTTTGATAGTCAACCTGTACTACTAATAATAATACCATTAATAATAATACTGTAATTAAAATACAGTACACCAAATACGATTGTATTAATTAAGGTTTCATCTTACTTACTTGAAAGCCCTTGGCTGCTTCAAGAAGCAGAGCACCTGGAGCCATAGAGCCAATACCAAGAGTCTCTGTCACAACCAATGGCACCTGAAGCATAATAAAAACTAACTAAATTTATAAATTTAAAAGTCATTACTTTATGAATACCTGTACTATAGTTCACGTATAATGATGCTGAATTAGTAAAACTGATAATTCTGCTTCAAGACAAAATAAACTTAGTATAACATTATCATTTGGAAACACTGCTTCTTGGCTGATCAGCAAACTTAGCAACAGTGGGTCTGGGTAGCACTTGGGTGGGTGACTGCCTGGCCCTAAGAATACCAGATGCTGGCATAAGGACTCTACTAGAAACAAGCATCTCATGGCTTTGTCAGGTGTCCTTGGTCAAATTAACTGAATATCAATTATTATATATCTCCAATTCTCAGAAAAAATAGGATTGTTAATGAAATCCTGTTTTAGTTAAGGTCATATGTAGTTAGGACTTGAAGACTTAAATGCATTTTTATTGATGGATTACTTTGTCCAATAAATCCAGGTCTAAGCAGATCTGGTTCAATTAAAAACCAGTACAGTATACAGGTAAGTACAGTACAGAGATTAATTATATCTAGTGGCAAATACTGTAAAGTAATGTTCAATCATGAGTGTGTCTAAAATCTGGCACAATGACATTATAGTATGAAATCTTTTGCCAACCTGGCCTGACAATGTGACTGAATCAGGGGTGAATGGGGCTACATATATAAACAAATTTCCCTAAACCACATTATGAAATAAGTGAAAGTGGGTCCCATAGGCATGACTGCCTGTTAGGGACAGTGTGGATACAGCACACTGTGTACTAAGCTTTTAGGTACATAAGGAGACAGCATGGCCGGTACTACACTCGACTGCATTCACTTACCCAAGTTGTAAATTTAGGTACCTATTTACAGCTGGGTGAACTGGCAAAGCTGGGTCCCACCACTGACCCATGGAACAGGAGGCGAGAACTGTATCCACTCAATTGCCACATCCCAAACCACATTATACCATGAGCTAAAAATAAGTCCTGTACCAATGATTGTTCAATTATGTTACAGAGCCAGTAAAAGAAAAAGGGCACATTAAAATATCAACTTACTTTTTGTAGTACATCATGAGTAATGCTGCCCAAGACCCTTAGTCCATCAGCTTCCTGCACGAGGTGTGAGGTAGAATCGAGGTAGTAACTTGTAGCATCTCCATTAACACTGACCACCTCAAGCGTCATGTCCCAGAGTAACACCACAGCACCTGTGCCACACCTACAAAACACTTTTTCTAAATTTCAGGTGTACAGTCTATCCATGGTTTTAGTGTCTGCCAGCTAATTAAATCAACTGCAACGAAAAATGATGACAGTGGGGATACGTCAATGTTTTTCAAATCACTACACTTCCTTCCTTTCCAGAACTCTTTTTTAAGTACTGTACAGTTCAGTACTGTAATATAAAAAATCTTGTAATATTTAAATTAATCTCTTTTCTCTTAATATACGGTAAGTAATATTCCTCAAGATTTTTTTAAAACTGTGGTGATGGGTTTCTCCTTTACCATAGTGAGGTACGGGGGATATCTAAAAGCTTTGCAAGGAATGTAATATGTTTTACTTAGGCCAGACAGGTAAAGATCTTGTAACTAGACTTAAACAACATAAATATAGTGTTAGGACAGGCAGGGAATCCAATGCTTTGTTTGTTCATTTGAGGGATAAAAAACATTGGATTGACTGGGATAATGCCTCCTCAATATTACCTTGTAATTCAATTGACAGTAGGAACATTATAGAATCTAGTCTCATTAAACATACCGAATCCGTGAACATGAATTTGAGTAATGGTATGTACAAATTGGACAATTTTGTAATTAAGAGGATTTGTAACCAGGTGAGAAGGTTGGGTCAGTTTTTCCCTCTGACCTGACTACCGTGCAGTGCTTTTGTGAAGATTAGTAGGGTCAATACCTATACTTGACCTCTGTGGACTTGATCTCACCCTCCTCTGTATATATATATAACTTGTTCTGCATTTCTACTTAGTTTGTACTCACCCCTGAAGATGTGAATTACACGAAAGCGCTTGGGAACTTCGTGTTTTGTTTTTCCTTGTGGTTATCAGCATATACCTGGATCACGCGCACCTACAGTGATTTATTTGCATACGTATATATATATATATATATACGTATATATATATATATATATATATATATATATATATATATATATATATATATATATATATATATATATATATATATATATATATATATATATATATATATATATATATATATATATATATATATATATATATATATATATATATATATATATATACTGTATATATATATATATATATATATATATATATATATATATATATATATATATATATATATATATATATATATATATATATATATATATATATATATATATATATATATATATATATATATATATATATATATATATATATATATATATATATATATATATATATATATATATATATATATATATATATATATATATATATATATATATATATATATATATATATATATATATATATATATATATATATATATATATATGTATATACGATACTTTA